TTCTTTCTGTAGGTAGGTATCTGGTAAACAACAAAAGCATAACTTCAAAATTTTGCAGGTGTGAAATACTGTCTCCCACAACTATAACTCACTTAAAATAATAGCCAAAGTCCTCACACTAGTCTGTGAGGCTCCTCCATAGTGTCTCTTACCTCACAGCCTACTATGTCCCCCCGCACATGCTGCTTCAGCTGCCACTGGCTTCCTCAGCAAACTCGTGCCTCAGGATCCTGTGCTTTCTCAGTGAGATGTCCAGCTCCATCTCCCCATTTCCTATCTGCCTCCCCACTGCATTGCCTCCACAGCACTGATTATATTCTACACTAGAATATTTATTTATTTGTAACTGTAACTATCTATCTCCTCCATTAAGAGTAGGGATTTTTCTTGATCTTGTTCACTGATGTACACTCATTACCTAGCCCATGTCCTTTGATTTCTCCTTCCCACAACAAAACCTCTCTGCTTATAGCCAGACAAGACAAATAATTCCAGAGATGAAGAGTACGCAGTTTCCATTCGTCTAGGAAGGGTGCTTCTCTCTCTAGAATTTAGTGCCTCTGGATCCTTCTGTGATATCAATCTTTTATTTTTTTTCTTGAATCAGCTTTACTGAGACATAATTGACATCCCACAATATTTACCCATTTGAGGTATACAATTCAGTGCTTTATTTTGTATACTATCGTTGTACTCATTATACATCTTTCATTGTACCTCACTAGTAGATTCCAATTCTAGAGCATTTTTATCACCCTAAAAAAAAATCCTATCCCCATCAGCAGTCATTCTTTTTTCCCCTCCTAAAAACGCTTCTACTTTCTGTCTCTATGGATTTGTCTATTCTGGAAATTTCACACTGAAGAATCATATAAGATGTGGCTCTTTGTGCTTCGCTTTTTCCCTTCACGTGTTTTCAAGGTTGATCCATGTTACAGCATATATTTCACCCCTTTCTACAGCAGAATAATATTCTACTTTATGGGCATGAGGCCACAATATGTTTAGCCATTCATCAGCTGATGAACCATTAGGTGGTTTCAACTTTGGGCTATTATGAATAGCACTGCTATGGACATTGGTGTGCATGCTTTTTTGAGGATGTATGTTTTCAATTCTCTTAGGTACAAACCTAGGAGTAAAATTCCTGCATCATTTGGTAATTCTGTGTTTAACCTTATGATGAACTGCCAAAGAGTTTTCTGTAGTTGCTGCACCATTTTACATTCCCACTAGAAATGCATGAGGGTTCCAATTTCTCCACATCTGTTGCGTTTTTGATTACAACCATTCTAATGGGTGTAGTCTTGATTCGAATTTCCCTAGTGACTAACTAGGTTGAACATTTTTACATGCGTGTATTGGCAATGTTTATATCTTCTTTGGATATAAATCTATTCAAATTCCTTTGCCCATTTTTAAACTGGGTTTTCCTTCTATTACTGAGTTGTAAGAGTTCTTTACATATTCTGTATACAAGTCTTTCATCAGATATGTGATTTGTAAATATGCTCTCCTATTCTGTGGATTATCACTTTCTTAATAGAGTCCTTTGCAGCACAAAAGTTTATAATTTCGATAAAGTCCATTTTATCTGTTTTTCTTTTGTCCACCATGCTTTTGGCGTCATTTTAAAGAAACTATTACGTAATCCAAGGTCACAAAGATTTACTCCTATGCTTCCTTCGAAAAGTTGCAGAACTTTCTCTCTTAAATTTAGGTCTCTGATCCACTTGACCTAATTTTTGTGTATAGTGTCAGTTAAGAGTCCAATTCCATGTGGATATCCAGATGTCTGAGTGCTGCTTGTTGAAAAAAAAATATTGTTTACCATTGAATTGTCTTGGTTTCTTTACCAAAAACCATTTGATAGTAAAAGTGATGGTTTATTTCTGGACTCTTAATTCCATTCACTGATCTATATGGCTGTCCTTACATCAGTACTCCACTACATTGACCACTGCTATTTTGTCGTTAAGTTTTAAAATCTGGAAGCGTGAGTCCTCAACTTTGTTCTTCTTTTCCAAGATTATTCTGGCTATTCTGGGCCCTCTAAAATTCTATGAATAATTTCCATATTAACTTTAGAAGTTTTATCAATTTCTACAAAGACGCTAGCTGGAATTTTGATGTGGATTATGTTGAATCTGCAGATCATTTTATGGAGTACCGACATCTAAAAATACTAAGTCTTCTGCTCTATGTACATGGGATGTAATTCTATATATTTAGATCTTCTTTCATGTCTTTCAACAACGTTTTGTAGTTTTCAGAGTATAAGTTTTATACTTCTTTTGGTAAATTTGTTTGTAAGTATTGAATCCTTTTTGATGCTGTTATAAATGGAATTGTTTTCTTAATTTCACTTTTAGATAGTTCACTGCTTACTGTTCTTGTGAATTTGACTTTTATACAGTTGCCACTCGGTATCTGTGGGTAACTGGTTCTAGGATCTGCTGGGATACCAGAATCCACAGACACTAAACTCACCACACTCCTACAGACAGCCCTTCATATCCATGGCTCTGCATCCGTGGATTCAACCAACCACAGATTGTGTAATACTGTATTTACTATTGAAAAACAAAATCCACATACAAGTGGACCCATGCAGTTCAAACTTGTGTTGCTTCAAGGGTCAACTGTATATTGATTTTTTTTATCCTGAAACCTTGTTGAACTAGTTTATTTGTCCAGTAGGTTTTCAAGAGGATTCCCTAGGATTTTCCCCATACAAGATCATGCCATCTGCAAACAGACGTATTTCCTTACAAGCTAGGTGCCTTTTATTTCATTTTCTTACCTACGTCCCGGGCTAGAACCTCTGGTATAACGTTGAATAGAAGTAGTGAGAGCACATAACTTGTCTTGCTCTGGATCTTAAGGAAAAAGCATCTGGTCTTTGACCATGAAGTATATCAGCTGTGGGTTTTTGTTTTTTTTTAATAGATGCCATTTATCAGGTTGAAGAAGACAGAAAAACCAAGATAGAAAGAAGAAACACAAACAGATTAAAAGAAAGAGGAGGTATAAACATATGGAAAGGGAGCAGGAAAATGAAATGACTAAATTACTAAATGACTAAATAATTGAGGGACTAAATGACAGAAAATGTGAATTTAAAAATAACTCTGAAAGGAATTCAGAAGAAATAGATTCAGAAATGCTCTGTCATTAGTTCAGTATATGTTTTTGGAAAAACATGAAAATTCCATGTGCCTTAGTTTTGCCAATGAGAAAAAGAAAGTAAGGGCATTTATTCTATAAATATACTATTTGTTTATAAATTTTTATGTATTCTGTGTGAGGTAGGATGTGAGGCACTGCAGATCTAAAGAGATAATGTACATTTTACCCTTAATTCACTTTTTGCCATTATATTTTATATTCTATAAAGCAAGTCAAACTATCAAAGTAGTGAAACGGAAGGAAAAGAGATACAAGGAAAGAAAGTCAGAAATAAAAAAAAAAAAAAGAAAGGAAAAATATGAAAAGGGAAAAGTAAAGACAGATGGAAGATACAAAAAGGGAAGGAAAAATTAGGCCTGAACAAAAATAGGAAGGTAAATAAGGACCCTCACAAATGGCTGAAGAGCCAGAGAGGGAAAGGGTAGAGAAGGGGAGGGGGTTTGTTCGTGGTTTGTTTTATTGATGGCAATAGGGTCTTTTAAAAATCTGAAACATATTTCTTTCACCAAAAGTAAAGCAGGAAACTCTTTGAGGATCACTTACTTTTAAAGTGGAAAAGAAAAGATAAATATACCTGAAAGAATTTCCAAATGTTAGAAAATTAAACTGTTTCTCTAAAAGGGTTCCCCTGTAATCCTTTCTCTAGATATCAAGCAGGTCACAAGACATGCGCTGTGATCTTGGCTCTATCATTACTTGACATCATTATTCTTTTGGATCCTCAGGTTCCTACTCTATAAAATAATGAAGTTGGATTAGATCATTCCTAAGGCTTCCTTCAGTTCTGACACCCTTAAATTTCACATAAGCTAGCAAAATAAAAACTTACCTAAGGGATGAAGACCATAAGCTACCCAAAAAAAGTAATACAAGAGAGAGCAGGGTATGTAATTCAAAGTAAAAAAATATCAACTTGAATAATGGGGAAAAAATGAGAAAACAAAATCCCTAGGTCCACTTTAAGTACAAAATAGCTATCACCCTCTAGGTGGTAAATACGTTACAAAACTCAGAATCTTTCCTAGCAGTAACAGTTACTGGAGAACAGTAGAAATTTATTTATTTTTTTTTATAAGAGTGAGAGAGGAAGACATCTGAAAAACACACCAGCAGGAAAATAAGACACTTGTTCATCTGTATTTCTGTGACTTTTCCCACTTGGTTTTATTTGCAACTGTACTTTTATGTCTGGCAGCAGTGCCAACTTCAGTATGAATGATGTATTAGTTTTATCATGTTGATTACATATGTTCACCAGTTTAGTTGTCCAGCTATGCTTGGTGTGGTTTGCAAACAGTCAGTGACAAAATCCAGAGCATGGCATTTTCACAGAAAGTGTTTACTGTGAAATTTCTCCTTAGAAGTTTGCTTTTCTTTACAGCTTTGATCCACATGACATCCACAGCCCTACATTTCAAATAATGGCTTATAGTTAAATTAAGAAAATACTTCAATTTGATACAATATGACTGCACTGGATGTGGTAGTTTTAGAGAGGACCTCATTTTCTCATGTGATTAGAGATTTGATCAAATTTAAAGTCTGCTAAAATTTTCCAAAACTGCGCTTCTTCAGTTTTATGGTGACTTGGTACTTACATTCTGTTATTCATCAACACTTCACAGAAATACTTGATTTGTCTGAAGGAATTTAAAAACCCACAACTGAAGAAAATCAGAAAAACCTGGTTTTAAATATCAAAAGACCCTGAATGAAAAGTACTTCTACAGGCCACACTAAGCAAGTTTTATTGATCAGTGTACTTTGCGTATGAAATTGTTGCAAGATTGAACATAATAAAATAAACTTACTGGTAAATATCTTTCCTGAGGACAGATCGGCCAAGGGGATTGTCAGCCTGGGGAGCCATAGCAACAGAGCCAATCTTCAAAACCATAGTGTCTTCTTTGGCTGCCTGATTAACTGTAACAAAAGGAATAGATTTATGAGGTATGCAGTAGGTCTGCGTGTAATTTCATGTATAAGGAGAAGTTTTTGAATAATAGGATAGAGAACCAATAAGACGAATAAATGAGAACAAAGAAAAATTATGTTAAAAATCAAAATATTTTTTATTTTTCTTAACTATTTCCTTTATATCCCATTAAGTTCTCTGTACACACAATTAAAATGGCAATTCAAAAAACTTCAGCCTGACATGAAAACATATGAGATTAAACATATGTATGTGGTACTGAAGTAGTATGTTTAACTAATTTCATGTTCTTACACTACATCTTTCTCCCAAGTGATTTTTTTAGCCCTGGATTTTCAACACTGCAGTGTTGTTTACAAATATATTAAGGATAGGCAGTAACAAAGTCAGTAACAAATGCTCAAGCCATTTAAATTTACATGATTAATAATAATAATTAAGTAGAACATACACACATGATAGTACATTAAGCTGTAACATGTCAGCAAATTAAGAAGAAATATAATATCTGACATGTGAATGAACAAAATAACCAAGTGATTGTTTAATATACAAGAACACTTCAGCTTGTGATTTTAAGCACTTTAAATTTTGATAATTTCTACTGGTGGTGTGTGCTTGAGAAATAGTAATTTCACACCTGTGTAAAAGTTCTACTTCCTAATGCAATCTAAAACTAAGGTAAGTATTCTTAGAAAACAATAAAAGGTAAAAAGATATATTAATTTTGATTCTCTTCTTTGTACTGAGTAAAACTATTTTACCATATGTTCTCATGTTGTAAAACTCAACTATTTTTCTGTAGATCACTGGCTAATTCAGTGTCTTTTCTAAAAATTATCTGGAATGAATAGGCATTCTTGATAGCCCCATTAATTTATATTAAATTTTACTCCTTCTTCTTCCATAGATGATTCTACTGTAGCAGTTGTTTAAAATTGTTTAAAAATTATTATCAATATATAGTTTTCTGGGTTTTTTGTAGAAAACATATACTAAAATTCAAAATTTCTCTCAAAGAACTATCATCTGCCACAGAAGGAACAGAAAAGGACTGGCGGCAAGACCTCAGGAATATCCTGAACAGAACACGCCTACAAAGGCATACAATCCACACTTTCCAAACTGTGCTGCCCAAAGAATGCAAAAGCTAAGAGATTATTTCCAGCTGCTTCAGCAGAACACTTGGTATGGTCTGACTTAGATTAGTCTAAAAAAGAAAGTCAGAATTAAGAAAATCAGAAAAAAATAAAAAGAAAGATACTCAGTGTGGGAAAAAAGGAACCAGAATAAGATGTAAATAAGGGGAGAAACAAAATGGCAGGGGGCTTGGGAAGGGAGGACCAGCAAAAAGGGGGAAAAAGAGATGCGCTATCACAGTATTAGCATGCGGATGCCACAATAAAGAAAGTACTTTCAAATGTCCACAGCAAAGAAGATCAAATAGAAAACTACTTCTCATGCAGTTGCCCTATTTTCAAACGACTAGAGGTCTGGCTTGATTATATAAGTCCTTATACTGTGAACAATGTTTACATTTCACAGATCTTGCATTTTATGGCAAGCTTATCAAATAGTTCCATGTGGGTAAAACCTCTGATTAAGCAAAAGGCATCAATTAAATCAATAAATAGTAAGCCTGGAGAATAGACTGTACCACAAAAGTGCAATTAGTGTACTTGCTAACTGTTCTTCCAGGCTACAGATACTACCCACCATATGAAAGTCTAAAATGTAATAGAAACACTGCAGTAAATGAGGTACATATGGTAGAAAAATGACGTACTTGGTGTTACATACAAAGCCAGATCCAAGAACAGAATTCTGTTTCTGTTAGAGCCAAAACTGTTCTCACTAGATTATACTGACTATGAAGTTATAATATTAATAATAATAACAAGCACTTAATGCAGATCATTCACAAGCTAAATTAAAATAATCAATTTTATTATAGAAAGTATTCAGCTTATCAAAATGTATCTTTGAGATATAAGAAAAAATAATAAAAATAGGGATTTAAAAAAGAAAGTGCCTTGAGTCATTTCTTCAGTTACTTTATAGTTGGAAAAAACCAAGCTCCCCTTTTTTAGTTTACTTCACCTGCATTTAATAGTTGGACCATATGAGGAAATGTTCCCTCTAGAAGCATTTTCAACATGAAAATGAATGTTTTCCTTCTTTGCTTTAACTGTATTTTTTAAAAATTGAGGCTCATGAGGAACGACTGACTCTAGAAGACTCACACCAGATCCAAAAAAAACAGTCCTCTCTTCTGAAATAAATAGCTTAGGCTGGAAATCAAACACCTAGATTCAGAATCTGGATAACTGCACATAATGCAAGCAATATTTAAGTTGAAAGCCAGACTTTCAATATCACTTCTTCAAATATTAGAATGCTAAATTTTTTAATTATTAACTGAATTTTATACATGAACTACTAAAAACTTTTACACTTAATGTAACATGAAATATGTCTGAAAAACTATCTTGTCTTGGGAAAAAGGGTGTGTATTGAAAATATAAAGACTATGAACAACTCTGAAATTATGAGCTTCTATAAGTAACCAAAAACTTACATAAAGAGCAGAATTTTCTTTTTTCTTTTCTTTTCTTTTAATGGAGGTACTGGACACTGAACCCAGGACCTTGTGCATGCTAAGCATGCGCTCTACCACTGAGCTATATCCATCCACTCTCTTCCAGAATTTTCGTGTAATTGTCAGACAATATAAGACTGTTGCTCATAACTAAGTTTTCTTAAACTCAACGTGAAATGTAAGTGTTTTGGAGAGTTTAAGATTTTCCTTTAAGATTCTCAATATAAACTCTATATAGTAAAACACCGGAAGTCTCAAGAGTATTTGAACCTGCCACTGTGCAATATTACACTTTTATAAAACCACAATAGTAGTGACAGCTCTACACAAAGCTCTGCACAAAAGGTTTTATTCGTTACTGCCACATTTGCAGTTGAAGACAGAAGGAAGGTCCAATAAGTGTGTAACCCAGTGATTACGTATGTTAATTGGAATATGTTGCATCTAGTTTACCGATCATCTCTGATCTTCAAGCACAAATTGCTTAGAAATATTTTTATAATATAGTTTATTCTGAGAAGTATGATATAGCAACATTTTGCTATGCTATCATATAATTTACATTCAGTTTAATTAATCTGATTTATTATAAGTTTAAATTAAAAATAAGTTTGCGTGAGTAAAATTTTTAAGACTTTCTGGAGTAAAATAAATACTATGCTCTTGATTCTTACTAGATCTTACTGGACTCATTTAAGTAATCATATTTATTTCCCATGGAATTGCTGCTTCAATCATGTTTTTCCTTATTTAGTCACATCTTTTAAAATGTATTATATAGAAACATCCAACCTTGCATATAAAAACATACATTTAAAATTTTATCTATAATTTAAAATGGTTAAAATGGTGAATTTTATGCTATGCAAATTTTACAGCAGTAAAAAATTTCTCCTGGGTGAATTATGATCATTTGAATTAAGAGTAGCAATAATGAAAGATAAAGCATAAGAAAAAACTAACATAATATGTCAAACCTCTAAATTTCAGGCATAGACTTTTATATTTGTTGTTTATGGATATGCACATATTCTGGCAACTCATAACATCTCAAATAGATACAGCTATGAGAATACATATAAGTAGGGATACATACGTGTAGATACAGATACATTCATAGACAGACACACAGGCAGAAGGCAAAAAGAAGAAAAAAGAAAAAACCCACAAAATCTAAAATAATAAGATGTATGCAATACAACATAGTCCAAACAAAAAGCTTAACATAAATAGGTCTTGATAAGTGATAAAGAAAAGATAAGCAATTCCCTAGTGGGGGAAAGCGCACTTTTCACTAATGAGACTGACAAAAAGTCAAGTTTGATAAACCTCTGTTAGGGTGACAGTGAGGAAACAGTACAAGCTGGTGCAGCCATTCTGGAGGCCATTTTACATCCCTTAGCATGTGAAAGGTACCCTTTGATCTAGCAGTATTTTTGCTAGGAATTTATTATAACACAAGTCATGAAAAGTACCACTAAAAAGGTGTTAATTGCAAAAAGTGTTTATATAAACAAAGGATTAAAATTAACCAAAAGTCCACAGAGACATGTGGCAGCCTGTATTTTCTAAAGATGGCTATGACAAGATCCCACCCCCTTACCCTGTATGTTCTTATTCAAGGTTACCTGCTTGGTGGGTACTTAGTCATCAGAATTTTGGAAAAGAAAGAGAGAAGTAAAAAGAGAGGAAGAGAAGGGAGGGAAGGGGAGGGAAGATTAGAGAGGGGGACAGGGAGGGAGGAAAGGGAGGAAGGGGGAGGGAAGAGGAAGGAAGGGAGAGAGGAAGGAAGGAAGCAAGCAAGCTAGCTAGCTTAAAAACAAGATAGGGAGAGTTTAGAATCATTCTTGCAATTACAATCAATAGGGGATTTTTCCTAGTTACATAAGCCAAATGGGAAATTTGAAACAACATAAACAGAACTGTGATATATAGTAATAGTTAACAGTTATGAAACAGTAAGCCAAAAACAACAAACAAGCAAAACAAAACAAACGCACACACAAAGCAAATAGTTCCTTTCCCTCTTTTCTCAAATAGCCAGATTTGTATACCTTCAGGCATCTATACAAATCAACGAAGCACAGAAACTGTTTCAGCCAACTCCCACTGAGCATGATGGAAAAATGAAGCTAATGTTGACCAAGGAACTTCTGACCTTTGTCTCACTATGAAGGTCCTCTCCCCTTCCAGTGAGCTTCCATTGTTCTTCTTTGTCACCTGTTGACTGAACTGTGTCTGCACTTCAATATTGTTCAGAAGATACCACAAATCCTGCACTAGTCAAGAGGGCTTACAAGCAGATCAGTGGTTTCTCAAAAATGATAGAATTCTAAACAAAGAATTACCATATGAGCAAGCAATGTCACTCCGAGGCATAAAAACAAAAGTATGAAAAATGGGTTGAAACAGATACTTGTGTACCAGTGTTCATTAGCAGCATTACTCAAAAACAGCTAGCCCAAAGATGGAAACAATCCAAGTGTCTGATAGATGAATAGATAAGCAAAATGTGCTATATCCATACAATGGCATATTACTTGGCCAAAAGAGAAATCAAATTCTGATACATGCTACAACATGAATGGACCTTGAAGACGTGACTAAGAGAAGTCAGTCAGACACAAAAGGACAAATATTGTATGATTCTACTTGTATGACATCTAGAAGAGGTAAATTCACTGAGACAGAAAGTAATTTAAAGGCTACCATGGAGGAGTTATTGCTTAATGGGTAGAGAGTTACTATTTGGGGTGATGAAAACATTTTGGAAATAGTGGTGACAGCTGCACAACATTGTCAATGTAATTTATGCTGTCAGTTACACTTAAAAATGGAAAACACTTTGTTATATATGTACTTTACCATAATAAAAAATGAAAAGACTTCCAATGCAATGAACAAGACATTTTACATTTTATAGGCAAACTCTCTCTTAAGAGGAAAAACTTAACACTATACATAAGGTCTTCCTAGTGATGTTCACCTAAGGGCCATGACACTGATATGGATGGTGAAAATAAGTAAGTCATTTAAACTTCTCTCACACATATGGTTAGTCACAAGAATTTCATTCCAAGAAGCCCTGCAATGAAGATTAACTGAAATGAAAGAGCAATTCACTGCGGAAATATTTCCTGTACTAATAAATGACAGTCCAAAGCATTCAGAAGTGCTCAGTACATCAAATGGATGAAAACATCAAATGGATAAAATATTTTAAGACAAATGAGCAAATTTTAAATGCCACTCAAATGCACACCTGGAGGAAAAGCTATGTTTGATTCAGAAAGACTTCCCAGTATAAACATGACTGGACACCTATTTAAGTACTCTTAGCCAGAATGGCTCATCTAGAAAAAACAACATACTGACACTGCTTTATATTCTAGGCCCAATTTCATAACTCAAATAAGAGATGAAGCCTATACCTTTGGTTTGTTTTCTTTTTATTTGTATTTGTGACCAATATTGATATTTTATAGCATTAAATTAAAGTGTGAAACTTTAAATTAAAACAGCACGGAGGATATTAAGAAACTAGACTTAGCTTAGGGTTAGTTAACATGCAGTCGCTATTCAGAGACCAATTAGCTCATATAATTTGAGGATCATTTGTACTTCCTGAACACTTCTATATTACTACAAAGGCACCATAGTCAGATACACTGCTTTACTTCCTGGCGTGTCTGCATGAACACTTCCTATTTTTTCATACAGCATTTTCCCTGCACCTCTCCCCACCTCATCCTAGTCTCTAACCTCTAATACCACTTTTTTCTTTAGGTTTCAGTGAAATTCTGGCCTCACCAATTGTTTACATTTAAATGAAAATAAATAGAAAATTACAGAAGGGGAACATAAAAATATGCTACAAGGAATTTTCAGGAAATCCTAAAAGCTTACTTACCATATTGTCTTTTAAATGAAATTACTGGAACTCATTCTCATTAGTAAAATGAATGCTTTTGTACAATCCAGAGAGATGTTTGTGGAAAATAATATCCTTAATTGTTAGAAAAAAATCAGGATTTTTCATAATAGAGGTATCGTAGGACTCAATTTACTCTTATTTTTATCTAAATACAAAATTTCTGTAGTTTTATTTTAGTGGAAAAGGTTATAAATACTACAACATAATGCTATTTTAAAATTTTAATGTACTAACCCAGACTCTCTTTCCAAAATAACAATAAATCTTCTGTAATAACAATGCCAAACTACTCCTGCTTCCATAGTGTTTTCCCCTATTCTGAGTTGGAAAATCAAAAAGATGGTCTGAAAATTTCAGTGATCTTTTATATCTGTTCCTTTTCTTGTATGGTTATGAGAGAGTGTTACTATGACTCTCAAACTGCTTCTCAGAGAACTATAC